GGGATTATTCTTGATTAACTGGATGTTAGGATGGTGCTGAAATTTAGTGAAGTGACCTGACTCGGACAACAGTTTGTTGGATATTGGCTGTGTGAATCCTTAATTTTGAACTGCAAATGTGGAAAATAAAGTACAGATGGGTTAAAAAGAAAAAAGAAAAGAATATTTGCTGTCATGATTGGGTTCCAGGCTGTTGTCTGACATTATTTCCTTGATGAGCTAACTAGACATGCAATAATGATCCATTGAGTGGCGAGTTCCCCCCCCCCAGTGGAAATAATGATACATGACACAATTATTAAGGCTAATGGGCTAAATAAGGTCACAACTTTATTGGCTACAGGTGATGAGCGGCAGTGGCTTAGGCATTGGTCCTAACCAACTATATCTGACTTCAGCCCGTCCGCTTGAAGTCCGGGAAGGGTTAACCACCAGTAGGGGGAGTCCTGCTGATGCACATCAACTAGGAACTCCCCCGGGGTCACCGCTAGGGGGCGTGCCTTAGGCCCTCACCTCCCTAGGCTTTGGACAGGGCCACATCCCCTGGAATCCTTTACTGGACTACCCTTCAATATGCGGGGCAGGTGATGGCGCTAGCTCCCCTCTTCCACCTACAGAACAATACCAATGCCTAACCTCCAATACCCAGAAAGTTGTGACGATTTGCTACGAGGTAGGCGAAAACCAAGTGGCTGGTGCCAATTTGCCAAGTGGAAAAATTCCTACCAGGCCCCTCAACGGCGACGAACCAAGGTCCATAGCAAGGTCAAGGAACGAAAACCTTATAGGGTGGGAAAAACTGGAACAGCTGGCAGGCGGCAAAGAGGGAAATCCCCAGCCTTATCCTGTTTTAAATAGGGCAGGCTATGACCCCAGAGCCAGCCGATTGGCTGGCAAGGGGGTGACGTGGCCAGAAATCCCCCCAATCGCGCGGGGGCTGGGAAGCCCGCAACCCCACCTCCTCTGTAGGGCGGAAGTGGCTTTAGTAATACCTTCCCTTTAAGGCTGATTCAAGGAGGGATGACTGTGCTCTCTGAAAATCTTACCCCAGGTTTTTTTAGGGCAGCACAGCTGTGCTGGCTGAGGCTGATGGGAACTGTAGCCCAAAACATCTGGAAAGCAACCAGGCTGGCAGACGCTGCTTTAGAGATGCTACCAGTAGTCACCTTTTCCCACAAACTCCTCCCTTCTCTCCCTTCCTTGCAGGAATCATTGAAATCCCCGTTACTAGGCACGGCCCTGACCTCTCGACCCCCACGTCCGTATGGTGCGCCACTCGTACATCGGATCCGCCATCGGCAACTCCGGGTGTCGACTACATACCCAGCTCCAAGAAAGTGGAATTTCGCCCAGGAAGAACTGAAGAGGTATCGCTACATTTTTTGCTATTACCAAGCAATTAGTACCTGGGACCAAACTAAGCATTGTCTCATAAGGAGCATTCAAACGCATTTGTGTCATGCATCTTGTGTGTTTTAGTCTGTACAGAAATGGTGCAGATCAAACAAAGAGCCAAACTAGACGTTAAATCAGGAAAAAATGGTAATTAGGGATGGATGGAACTGTCAGTTTTGGTTTCTCTGACTTTCTCGTTTTTTCCAGCCTGAAGTTCAGATCATCACATTTTTGTATCTGTTTGCGATTTAAAAAGAAAAATGTCCTTACAAAAATTTGTCAGCATTTTAGTGAGCATTTCTCGCAATATACATGTGATTTATTTATCTTTGCTCAACATGCACATTTTTACAAGTCATGTCCCCTAATATAATACATTTATTTTCACTAATATATACATTTTAATGCCCATGTTCTCCTAACATTTCTGCAGACATTTTTTGGTTGGATAACTGCATAACAAAATTCAGAGAAATTCAGATTTTGAAGGATAGCTGCAGTTTGGTTTGCATGGTGTTTTGGAAGATGGGAACGAAACCATTTTTAATTGTACCTAGAAAGCGCAGTACCAAACTAGAGACATTGGTGGGTGGTTATGATGAGCCTAAATCCACACTAAAACTTGCCACCGCCACTCAGAACTCCTTCCCTGGGGGCTGCCATTTTTGGCACCGAGATACTTCTGGAAGAACAATGCTGTGTCGTCTATTTGCCATTGTTTTTGGCAAGGGGAAAAGGTGACCGCCAGCCAGCAGTTATTGGAAGGAACTTCAGAAAGTGAGGGTGAGTTCCCTCCCCTATCAAAAATTATTGTGTTTGAGCCCCTGGTTGGCCTCCCCCAAATTCTTCCTGAAAGTTGTCATCTGAGAACATCTGGCTCAGCGTGGTTCCTGTTACATAACGCAGAAAACAAACTGTGCCCCAGGTTTCAGATGTCTGGGAAAGACATGCACAGAACTTTGCTCAGGTTCACCTAACAGTCGGGATGTTTTTGGCTGTTTGTTCATGCATCTGAGATAAGCAGCGATGCACAAATGAAAGCAGGTGCCATTTGTGAATCTAGAAGAGCCCAACACCATCGACTCCTCTCAAATCCTCTGACACTCCTTCACACACATACCTGTTTGCAAGGCCGGATTTAGGTTTGATGAGGCCCTAAGCTACTGAAGGTAATGGGGCCCTTTATATGTCTAGCTGTCCTTTGTCAACGACAAATTGTTGCTGTTTTTTGTGTTGAATATATGCTATATGGTAACTTATGGACCTATGAGGTATCTAAAGCCATTTGCAAATAACAAAATATGTATTTTATCAAAGTAATTGTTGAACTGAAATACAATTAAGAAGTATATTAATAGTGAAATACAATTAAGAAGACGTATATATACTTTTCTTGCCAACCTAGCAGTTCGAAAGCACGTCAAAGTGCAAGTAGATAAATAGGTACCGCTCCGGCGGGAAGGTAAATGGCGTTTTCGTGCACTGCTCTGGTTCGCCAGAAGCGGCTTAGTCATGCTGGCCGCATGACCCGGAAGCTGTACGCCGGCTCCCTCAGCCAGTAAAGCGAGATGAGCACCGCAACCCCAGAGTCGGCCACGACTGGACCTAATGGTCAGGGGTCCCTTTACCTTTACCTTTATATATACTTTATCTTACATTTTGGAAATGTACATCCAGTTTTTTTCCTTTACATTTTTTTGGGCCCCCCAAGAGAGTGGGGCCCTAAGCTATAGCTTGTTTAGCTTATACGTAAATCTGGCACTGCCTTTTTGGTCGGTTTTATATATTAAGAAAGTAGGCCTTTTTATTTCTCTCATCTCCTCTAGTACTGCACCTTGACAATTCTGGATGATGCACAGTACCCAGTCATCGAAGGGGTGGAGACGTTTGTTGTCTACTTGAGCTCGCCGCAAGGAGCAGAGCTGGCCAAGCCTTTTCAAGCAATGGTGGCCATTAATGACACCTTCCAGGATGGTAAGAGGGTCAACAAAGAAATATTTTAGTGCGACTGGCGCTCATAGAATTGTAGAGTTTGAAGGGATTACAAGGGTCATCTGTTTCAACCCCCTGCAATGCAGGAATCTTTTGCCCAATGTGGGGCTCAAACCCACGGTCCTGAGATTAAGAGTCTCATGCTCTACCGACTAAGCTATGTAACTGAGCTTCAGTAAGACAACTTTCTTGGCAAGCTTAGGGCTGATGGGCATTTTAAAATGTGTACATGCACACTGGCTTCTTACTCATAATGTGTTTGAATACACCACGTGCAGAATTTGTTTCTTTATAGTCTTCAACTGGAAATGAAGAAGCCCATTAGAATGGCTTCTGAAACTGATGGAATATGCTGAAATGGCGAAATTAACTGCCAAATTAAGAGGACATAATGACAAAGTTATGGTGCTGGAGGAGACTCTTGAGAGTCCCATGGACTGCAAGAAGATCAAACGTATCCATTCTTAAGGAAATCAGCCCTGAGTGCTCACTGGAAGGACAGATCCTGAAGCTGAGGCTCCAATACTTTGGCCACCTCATGAGAAGAGAAGACTCCTGGAAAAGACCCTGATGTTGGGAAAGATGGAGGGCACAAGGAGAAGGGGACAACAGAGGACGAGATGGTTGGACAGTGTTCTCGAAGCTACGAACATGAGTTTGACCAAACTGTGGGAGGCAGTGGAAGACAGGAGTGCCTGGCGTGCTCTGGTCCATGGAGTCACGAAGAGTCGGACACGACTAAACGACTAAACAACAACAACAACATTGCCAAAGTGTTTAAGGATGAATGGAGATCCCAGATGGATTATCTAATCAAATCAACACCAATATATGATGTCGCGGGCAGGATTTGAAATATAAGCAGTGGATTACTAAAGATTTAACGGTCGCAGGGTTTAGATAATAAACGTGTGTGTTATAAAACAGCTAATAAAAAGCAGAAAACGAACATCAGGAAAGAAATGGTTGGAAATCAAGAAGAAAGTTGTACGTTAAAAAAAAAATGTATACGATGATAATATTGTTAGAGGTTAAATAAAAATTATATATATGAAGTGAAGGCAATTCCAGTACTCAATTTTGAGTACTGGAATTGCCCTTGATGTGGTTCCATAGCTCCAAGCAAGATTTTCAAGGCAGTATGCAGCAGTCCAGCTCACACTGAGCAACAACTTGCTCATGTTTTTGAGCAGTGGATAGTCAATTTATGGAATTCACCGTCGTGGGATGTGGGGATGGCTGCCAATAGCTGACATGATTTAAAAGGGGATAAAGATGAATGCAGGGAGGATCAGAATATCAGTGGCTATTGGTCATGCCGGCTATACATTCCTTCCAGGTTCACAGGCATTCAGACCTGGATGCCAGTTCATACCTGAATGCCAGTTGCTGAGGTACATGATGAGGAGAGATGGTGATTGTGCTCTTGCCCTGCTTCTGGGCTTCCCAGAGGTATCTAGGAAACAGGATGATGGACTAGATAGGCTGCTGGTCTGATCCAGTGGTCAGCCTGAGCAGCCACCTTTTAGGTTCTCAGATTGTCTCATTTTGCCGGGCCTGAAATCTGTACCACATTCTCCAGTCATGGGGAGATGAAGCACTGCAAAGTAGCATTCATAAGGTCAGCTGTTCCCTCTTAGGGACGTGGGTGGCGCTAGACCACAGCGCCACCCACGTCCCTAAGAGGGAACAGCTGACCTTATGAATGCCAATCAGAAGGTCGGTGGTTCGAATCCTTGCGACAGAGTGAGCTCCCATTGCTCTGTCCCAGCTCCTGCCAACCTAATAATAAGAATACATTTTATTTATATCCCGCCCTCCCCAGCCGAAGCCGGACTCAGGGCGGCTAACAACAATAAAATAGTACAACATTCTAAAATCATTTCATTATAAAATTAATTCAAATCAAATTGATAGCAACCATTAGGCTAAAGTTCTGTAAAGATTGCCAAAGGAGGGAGTCAGGCTGTGCCCTGACCAAAGGCCTGGTGGAACAGCTCTGTCTTGCAGGCCCTGCAGAAAGATGTCAAGTCCCGCAGGGCCCTAGTCTCTTGTGGCAGAGCGTTCCACCAGATTGGAGCCACAGCCGAAAAAGCCCTGGAGGCAAACCTAGCAGTTTGAAAGCACACCAGTGCAAGTAGATAAATAGGTACCGCTGTGGCAGGAAGGTAAACGGCTTTTCCATGCACTCTGGTTTCCGTCATGGTGTTCTGTTGCGCCAGAAGCAGTTTAGTCATGCTGGCCACGTGACCCAGAAAGCTGTCTGTGGACAAACGCCGGCTCCCTCGGCCTGAATGCGAGATGAGCGCCACAACCCTATAGTCGCCTTTGACTGGACTTCACCATCCAGGGGTCCTTTACCCTTTTACCTTTTACCTGTTCCCTCTTGTCTACAACCTACCATGGTGGCAGAAGGCCTGGACCCCACTGTCCCCTGCTCAAGGCACCAAAACCCCCTGTGACCTGGTAATTAAAACAGGAGTCATACATTCCTGAGCTTGTAGCTTCTGAGAAATTATGCCCTCATTTTTCAGCATACTGTAGGCCCGCAGAAGATTGAGTGATTCCTCTTCTTCCCTCCGCAGTGCCGAACATGAAATTTAGTAAAGAATTGTACCCTGTGAAAGAGAAGGAGGGCATCCTCCACATTCCCATCATCCGCACCGGAGACTTAAGCTATGAGTCGTCTGTCAGGTGCTACACCCAGGGCCAGACAGCGAAAGCCATGGAGGACTTTGAGGAAAGGAGAAACACGGAGGAATCGCGTGTCACTTTTCTGAAAGGGGAGAAGGTGAGTGGATGTAGCTCACAATGAAACAACAGCCAATGAATTCGTGGTCACATCCGATTTGTAAAACTCCCTGCCTAGGAATGTCCATCTTTACCATTCCCTTTCACTCCACTGCAAAGTGCTTTCTTTTTACAGACAGACATTTATTTACTTCGGTTTTTCCTTAAAAAAAAATGTTTAGGGGTACTCTCGAGAAAATCACCATTTTATAGTTCAAATCGGGGGAAATAAATACAGTAAACTGACAAAAGTACAAAGAACATGCATTACCTCATATTACACAGCTGACAGATCACAGTAACTTCCACATTGGCATGAGGTTGTGTGCACTAACGTCTTCCTGATTCCGCACATCCACATTCCACATTGTTTCACACATTAAACGCTCGCTTCTGTCTAAGATTCAGGAAACACCGGGAAAGGAAATGAAGCCGCCATCGGGGGGTAGCAACGGAACTGACGGTTCACAGTGCTACTCAATGGAGCTGACGATTCACTGTGCTAGAGAAGAAACAATTTTAATTTTTTTTAAAGTTTCTTCTCCCGTTAGATTCACAAAATGTTTAGAGGTATGCGTACCCCTGCATCCCCCCTCCCGAAAAATGCACTGTATATACCACTTCATAAAGGGACGCGGGTGGCATTGTGGTCTAAACCACTGAGCCTAGGGCTTGCCGATCGGAAGGTTTGAATCCCCACAACAGGGTGAGTTCCCGTTGCTCAGTCCCAGCTCCTGCCAACCTAGCAGTTCGAAAGCACACCAGTGCAAGTAGATAAATAGGTACCGCTGTGGCAGAAGGGAAACGGCGTTTCCGTGCGCTGCTCTGGTTTCTCCAGAAGCTGCTTAGTCATGACCCAGAAAAACTATCTGCGGACAAACCCTGGCTCCCTCAGCCAGTAAAGCGAGATGAGCGCCACAACCCCAGAGTTGGACACGACTGGACCTAATGGTCAGGGGTCCCTTTACTTTTACCTTTATACCACTTCATATTTTAAAGCAGTCTCCAAATGGTTTGCAGCATGCGAAAACCTGGCCTGCCTAACAATCAATGCTAGCGCAATGGGCATATTAGTTATTTTATCTGCTATCCCTGTCTTCCTTTTTCCAGATAGTCCTACTTATTACTGATTTCTTGTATTTTTTTTTATTAATGTGCTGGGAGCTGCCACGAATGTTTTGCAGGAGAGGCAGCATATTTGTGTTTTTAATAAACAGGTTAGCCGGGTTACCTACCTCCTTGTCCTTAACTCTTGGCATCCTTGGATCTAGGTAAAGAACTGCACTATCTTTATTAATGACGACTCTGCCTTTGAACCGGAGGAGAAGTTCCAGATATACCTGAGCAACCCTCTTGGAAACCATTGGAGTGGGGCTACAGTTGGCAAGAATAATATGGCCTCCATTATTATCTCCAATGATGAAGATGGTAAGAGGAGCTAGCCTGCATGCGCCAGCCTTTACGTGTTTTCGGACCCACTGGACCAGCGGACCCCTGGCCTTGTCCCCGAATTGTGCTTGGGGAACCTTGAAGCTCCTCTCTCCCTAGTTGGTTTGAGCCTTGCCACATTGCCGGAGCCTCGGGGCATCTGTGCTAATTTCCTGCTTTCCTCCTGCTGCCGAGTTTGCACCGTCAGCCTGCTAGAACAAAACTCTGGTTCTTCACCTACAAGAAAGTGCCTGTATCATTGTTCTTGGGCGGGAGCCAGGGCACAGAGGTTAAAAGGTCATATTTAAGTGCCTAACAATCAATGTACTTACAAATAGCTTGCAAACATTTACAAATAACTATTGGCCTTTAAATGCAGTTTGTAGAACAAATGGCTCACAAAAGTTTATAAGTAGTAACATTTAACTGCAATTCATAAGAAATCTTACCCGCAGTTAACTTCTTATGTATTTATTTACAGCCTGAGTGCACTTAAAAAAACCATATAACCCATCCCTTTCCCAGATATTTATAATTCCTTTTTTATCTACTGGGTCACCACGTTCCTCCTGTGCATAACTTCGGAGTATTTATCTCTGCTTTTCAACAGCGCTCTCAACTTAATTGGGCTTGTCTGCTCCCAGATTTTCCTAAGTCATATTTAGTTACCGTATTTTTCGCCCCATAGGGCGCACCGCCCCATATGATGCACCTAGGTTTTTTGGGGGGGGGGAAATAAAGGGAAAAAAATTATCCCCCCCCCCGGCACGGGGCTTCCCCCAACCCCAGCCCCGAGAACAGCCTGCTATCCGCAAGCCTAGGGAGCCCGGCGGGAAGTCGCGCCGGTCTCCCCAGGCTTGTGGAGAGCTGCGCGAAGCCCGGGCGCGCTCTTTAGTGCGCCCCAGGCTTCGGAATGCAGGCAGCTCTGCGCAGCCCTCGGGAGACCGGCACGAAAGTCGCGCCAGTCTCCCAAGGGTTGCGCACAGCTTCCTGTGCGCACCGACCCCTCTCGCTCTCCAGGCTTCAGCGAAAGCCTGCATCCGCCCCATAGGATGCACACACATTTCCCCTTCATTTTTGGAGGGAAAAAAGTGCGTCCTATAGGGCGAAAAATACGGTAGTTTATGGGAGTTTCCCCATAACTGAACATGTAGAAACCTGGCCACGGTTATTATATATACAGCACTTGGCTCCAATATTCTGGTTACATAGTTCCAGCAGACACATGTATAGTTTTAATTGTATAAACCTAACTCAAAGTGTTCTTCACATCTGGAGACACAAACAAGCAGCTTCTATTTTTCTTCTGTTTCTCTAGCTCCCACCATCGAGTTTGAGGAAGCTGCTTACCAAGTCCGTGAACCTCCTGGGCCTGAAGGGGTTGCTTTCTTGAATGTCAAGGTGCTGCGGAGAGGGGACCAGAACAGGACCTCCAAAGTTCGCTGCAGCACCCGGGACGGCTCTGCTCAGTCTGGGATTGATTACTACCCAAAGAGTCGAGTCCTCAAGTTCAGTCCTGGTAAAGCACAGAAAGTCCTCGAGTTCTGCAATAATGGACATTGTTTGGAAGCAAAAAATAAGCTTGCTTGTGTATTTTCTTTGAACGCCATTGTGGGTGGGGCGGTCCAGAGAGGCTAATATCCGAAAGACATGGGACAAAATTGCTGGCATCCGTCTGTCTCGAGAGACAATGGAGTGCATCTCCAGGAGTGAAATCAACCCACTGGAGATTCACAGCGCCTGCTGTGGCTGCAGAGACCACTAACTCATAACTTCTGCCTCCCACGTTGTTTTTGCTGCAATAGCACCTCTGAAGTGAAGTGGCCTCCCTGGGGTGCAAGCCTGGGCCATTTGTATTGAGATCCTGAGCTGCCCAGACAACAGGACCCTCCTCTCAGCCTTGCTGATGTGGTCCAAAGGAAAGCAGAGCAGTATGTTTGGCACCAGCTTGGTTGCAAGAGTTGCTGGAAGGAGACGTACAGGACTCTCCTTCCTTAAAGCCCTTCTGTTCCCTTTGCTCTGCCCAGTCTGCTTCCTTCATCCCAGTGCTGCCCAGCTCCCAAACCCCTGCAGAACACATGGGATATATTCCTGCTGAAATTAAAGGCCCATTCATTTCGCTTGAGTAACAATGTGCTCAGAGCTGTCCTCTTGAAGTCAGTGGGTTGTCCCTGTGGTTGTCTGTTCCTGGGTCCATGTTTTTTGCTTATCCCCACAACCGTCCTTTGCTCCCTAGCTTACAGTTTCCTTGGCTCCCTTGTTTTCAGCCTCCCTTCCTCCCAAGGCCCCCATTGCTTCCATTCGCGGCCCAGTTCACCCTCCATCTGATGTTTTCTCTCAGAACGGGTTTTCCCAGCCCTTTTCCAATGCGTCAATCCACAGCAACTCTTAAAGGCCTTACAGAAAATCTTGCAAGGCCAAGAGTTCTGTGCTCATCGTAAAGAATCAAAGCAGACGTGCCCTCCAGCAATAATATGGGAGGTATATTT